CCTGTTTACCTTGAGAGAGGAATCAGGTCCTTTCCCAGATGATGGCAGACACTACCAGTGGCCTGGAGGATGATGACCAGGCATTTTCCCTGATGGTGGCTGACAGCACCAGTGCATTGAGGTATGAGAACCAGGCGCTGACGCAGATGCTGAAGAAGAGCCAGGCCCTTTACCAGAAACTGGACGACACCTGCCGCGCCCTCTGAGAAGAAAACCAGGCCCTCTAAAGAAGATGGATCACATTACTCGTGCCCTCAAGTTGCATTCACCATCGGGTTATCTGAGACGGCGGAAAAGCTACAATGAGAACTACAAAGGAAGCTGTAAGAAGTCGAACATAAGTTTGCTGAGTCGCACGCCCAGCTGCATCAGAAGTTTGCTAAGGGACACGCACAGCTTCATAGACGCGTGCAGCAAGTTCAACGAGTCATCAGTGAAGATGTGATCGACGATTTTTGAGCGTCCGCTAAAGCAGGAAGAGCCTGTACCCGCTGCAGCCAAGCTGAAACCTCCAACTTTCAATGGGAAGACGTTCTGGCCGAACTATTTGAAGCAGTTTGAGGCAGCAGCTCGAGCTAATATCGTATTGGCTGTGGCCCTCAAAGGAGATGCACTGGATGTCAACACGCAAATTTGTATCAGGTATACCAGTCGCGGATGAAGAACCGGTGACAGAAGGCAAGCGAGTGCCTGCAGAAGTTAGAAGCGGATGTTGCTCGGTTGGGGCGCTTTGCCTATCCGTCATCTCCTAGCAATATGATGGAGGGCTCTAGATCGTTTGTGGACGGTATTTGCGACGGGGAAGTTTACCATGCAGTTTAATTGGCCCGTCCAAAGATGCCTTAGCCTAGGCATCAGAATCTCGAGCCGCCAGAGAAGTATTTAGAGGCCAACACGCAAATTTGTATCAGGTATACCAGTCGCGGATGAAGAACCGGTGACAGAAGCCAAGCGAGTGCCTGCAGAAGTTAGAAGCGGATGTTGCTCGGTTGGGACGCTTTGCCTATCCGTCATCTCCTAGCAATATGATGGAGGGCTCTAGCTCGTTTGTGGGCGGTATTCGCGACGGTGAAGTTTACAATGCAGTTTAATTGGCCCGTCCAAAGATGCCTTAGCCTAGGCATCAGAATCTCGAGCCGCCAGCAGCAGAGAAGCATTTAGAGGCCATGCCGAAGTGAAGGAGGTTAACGAAGGAACGGACGAAGCTAACTCGGGTCAGCAAACTTTATAGTCGCTGGTCAACGAAATAAAGGGATTGTTGATGAAGACTCGAGCTGTACGCTGCTGGAACTATGGAGAGTGGGGCCACCCCCCGATAAGAATAGAAGCAGCCAAGAAGAACATCTGAGGAAGGAGAAGCGAGCAACATTGACCCGCTACCAACAGCACCCCCCAGCTACTATGCTAGTGGCTTTAGTGCGACAGCAGGACAGAGGATTGTACGTGGATCGAAGAATCAACCGCAGGTCAGATGCATTCAAGGTGGACACTTGAGCCATGAGGACTGGGTCTGATTAAAAGTTCGCGGGAAGTACTTCGATTCTGGAAATTACGTATCGCAAGAAGAGCTGCTGTTGCTGTAGATCGAGAGGCGGACTTGCTGTTGCAGATCTGCTCCGAGAACTTCCGTCATCGTGTTCTGGTTGCTGTTAACGAAGATGATTTGATCCTGGGAATGGTCGTGATGAGGATTCATGGATTCCAGTTGGATTGGAGGCACCGCTTCCACATTCCGCATAACCAGAAGTACGTACACGCCCGTGAGATCATTGCTGAAGAGACCGCCGTACCTGCAAACAGAGAGACCATCGTAAAGGCGGATGTCGAAGGAGACGTCAGCACGGGAGAGAGCATCATAGCAGAACCAGCGGAGCACACGGATCAAGGTGTGCTGATGGCAACGATCTTGGTGACGGTTGAGGACGTCGTTTCACTATGCGGGAATTAACTTTCAGGCATAAAACGGTAAGACGGGTGCTCTTGTCGCACAGCATCAACAAAGCATCTGGTCAGGACTTAATTCCTGCCGTTGAATTGAAGAGGTGTGCAGCGGAGCTTTCTCCAGTTCTTCCGCATCCCTTTCAGATATCTAATTTGCTTTTGTCCAACCCATCCCAAAAAAGGGATCTAAGATCGACCCTTACAACTACAGACCGATAGCTCTGCTTTCTGTTATAAGTAAAGTGATGGAGACGTGGATAAATCGCAGGCTTCTGAACTACCTCAAACATCAAGCTTGATTGCCGACAGGGAGTATAGTTTCCAACACCACCGATCGACAACGGACCTCCTAGCTTACGTCACGCAACTCATCCAGTCTTACGGTGAGGTTCAATGTCGTTACTCTTGATATCACGAAAGCGTTCGATCAGCTGTGGCACGCGGCCCTCTTACGCCAACTTCCATCCTATGGCCTCCCAGAGAAGCTTTGCAGATGGGTGGCTGACATTCTCTCTGGCCGCAAGATATCGTTCGTAATTGACGGCTTCTCCTCTTCATCCCTCAACGTCAACGCGGTTGTTCCCTAGGAATCGGTCTTGGCCCCGACACTGATCCTCTTACATATCAACGACCTCCTTTCCTGCACCATCAATCCAATCCATAGCTTTGCTGATGACATTCCTCTACATACAGGAATTCAGAACTACAAGCTGATCTCTACCGATAAGCTGGAGAAAAGAAGATTAGCATCTACTTCCTCTCTGACGAGAAACCAGGAGGTTATCACTGCTTGGGGACGCAAACATCTTGTACAGTTTAATGCTTCCACAACATAGTACTGTACATTGACGAACCAAAAGCGTCCTAGCGCTTATCCGGTCTCGATGGATGGCCGAGTTCTGCCAAAGAGCCGTTCATTTCGGCTGGTCGGAGTCCAGATCACCGAGGACTTGATCTCACACGAGCACATCTCGTCAGTATCAGCAGCTAGTGGGGAAAAATTAGGCTATTTGTTTAGGGCTAAAACGTTCTTTTCTCCACAAGATTTCCTCACTCTATACAAGACCCAGATAAGACCTTGTCTCGAGTGTTGCTCATATGTTTGGAGTGCTGCCACTCCGACTACATCATCAATGCTCGATGCCGTCCAGAGGCAGGCCGTTAGCGATTTAGCTCCCTTCTACCACTACACCAAAAGGTTCTACTCCTCAGAGCTCTCCTCCATGATGCCGCCGCGCGATGTGCCTGCCAGACAAACCCGCCTGAGCTCAGCTTCCCATCCTAACCTTTGTACCTGGGGTGTCGAAATTCTGGAACTATCTAAGGGAGGAGGCTTTTTCTAGTTCTACTAACCTTGGGATCCTCATAGCAGCTTCTGCCTGCGCGGCGGCTTCGGTGTAAATAAAAAAAAATATGCCTCAGTGACATCGATTATCCATCAAGCCAAGGCCGGACCTAAGCAGAAGAACAAAGGTAGAAATCGCCTTTGGGAGATGAATGAAGCTCCTTGTAAAGGCGCTTACCTGGATCAAGCTGCAAAGGTGAAAGAGCTGATCAACCGATGTCGAGACATGTTTGAAGGTGACGCCCCTAATCCAGGACTGACGAAGCACAAGATCGACACAGGTGATGCAAGGCTTATCCGTCAAGATTCCAGAAGACTCCCAGATGTGAAGCGAGGGGAAACTTTTACGATAGTAGAGCAGATAGAGCAAGAAGGTGAGATAGAGCCATCCAGTAGTCCGTCGTTTTGGTGGAGGATGGAAGTACTTGTTTCCGCGTTGACTAACGCCGACTCGATTGAGACTGCCATTACAATTGGACTTGGACTCTGGCAAACCGCCACAATGCCTCCTCTACCTGGATAACATCACCGTGCTAGGCAAAGCATTCGGCGAGCACCCGCAGAATTTAGAAGAGGTTTTCCGAAGGCACTGGCGTGCAAACTTGAAACTGAAACCGAAGAAATGCAGTCCAGTCCGGGGTCAACTACCTGGGCCACGAAGTCAGCCGGGATGGAGTCACAGTCGATCCAGAAAAAGTGCACGCGATCAAGGAATGGCCGATTCCTGCAGATAAGTCGCAGATGAGAAATTTCCTTGGGTTGTGCAAAGTTTGTTCCTGCCTTCGCGAATACTGCGGAACCATTGACATTACCGCCTCACCGAGAAAGCTCAGCAGTTCGTTTGAGATTAAAACTCTCAGCGCGCCTTCGAACAACTTAAGCAGCATTTGATCAGCGCCTCGAACATAGGAACATCTGGAAGGGAAACTAGAAGGAGCCCAGGAACGTGTTATAGGGTATTTCAGCAAGATCATATCGAAGCCTGACGAAACTACTACGTTACTAAGCGAGCGCTGAAGTGGTACGTGCAATTTAAGAATCCCAAACGACCAGTGGCTGGATGGACCACCGAAGTCCTCGCACAGGACAGCGACCAATATGCACGACGTCGGTAGTGGATGATTCGTAGTTGCCTAACAGTATCCGTGAAGTCCAGGAACGCGACCCTGATATTAAACGTCTGAACCAGTGGAAGGAAGAGGATCGCCGACCAACCACAAGCGATCAAGTCATACTGGGCCTAGTGGAACTCTGGTGCTACAAGACATCGGCCCGAAACAAGCGGTAGAGAAAGAAGATAGGTCTCAACGAAGGCTGCACCTGGGGGTTCCATAGGTTTACCATCAGCTCCACAGAGCTGCTATTTAGCGTACAGGCTGCGCGCTGCTTCTGTATAAAGTAGTGAAAGCAGAAAAAGGGAATTCAACAAAATGATTAAATTTCATCTAAATATGGGGTATGAAATTATGCAATATTTATGAGCTGGTTCCACTACTTGTTCTGAAATACCTGCTACAGTTGTGGATAGATATATCATGTCCCTATGCCAAGCGTAGACCTAGGTGTTTATCTGCGTAGATGAGGCCTGTTGTTATGGTCGCAGATTCATGTGCAGGAAGATGTTAAGCAGCGCTTTCAAGAGCGGATGCTCTTGTGACAATTGCAGAGCTGGAAGTGGGATACGTTTAGGAGGTTGGGGCGCATTTTTTTTATACTCCAAGTACCACGAAGGCCTAAGGCCTAAACACCCATTGCGTACCGTGGGGCTATAGGGGGATACATGGGAAAGGGGGAATGCCACACGGACTCTGGCGAGGGGAAACGTGTGCATGCAACATGTACACACTCTGGCTCCGCTTACGAGATACGCCGGGTGGTACCTCCGCGTTCGACAGTCAGAGCCCGTCTACCACCTACGGACAATCACAACATCCATAGCCAAGAGAAAAATTTCTCCTGGGATGGGATTCGAACCCGAACCGCGCACGGCGACTGATCAGGATACCGAAGAGTCTACTACTGCGGCCACCGCTGCTGCCTTATGGCTATGCCTATGTCATCATGACTCCGGTCTAGCAAAGTAATTTCAGCACCAAGATACAGCAGTTTGTATCATTTCATTGAAAAAATGACAGGCTTGGTCGCCTAGGGGAAGCGCGCCCTCCAAATCCGCACTTGTTCGACGGTTATTACTGATGTATAAAGTTAAGTGGAAATCCACTGGCACTGTTTGGAATACTGATGGGGCAGACCGCAATAAATATTGATCGTGAGACATTCGCCATAGAGGGGGTGTATATTCACACTTCAAAGTTGAAGAGATCTCTAATGCGACACTATACAAATATGATCAAAAATACTCAACATGAATGGCCTTTCTTTGGTAAATCTTGCTTGTTCGACTTGCAATATTAACAAGTCCAAGTTGCCTCTGTATCAAACTTATTCTTGATCTAATCCGCATGATAGGCATACTCGTACCTGTATTTTGGCACCCGAATTATGTAACCTAAAAAGCTTCTGGGATTATTACGTAAAAAAACCTTATATTGCCAAAACATCCGTAAAATGTCAACTTGTGCACTAGCCAGTAGTTCGTTCCGTGCCTGCTACAAGTGAGAATGAAATGAATTTCAGATAGTTCAAAAGTGATATTTTGTGTCAAAAAGCCTACATAACTTAATGAAAATTCAATAATGGTTACCTAACAAGTGCGGAAAGTGATACTTTTCCGCACGCGACGGCAGCCGTCAAAGGCGGAAAATACATATTCCGCAGGTGTTAAGTATAAGATTTACATTTACATACTGTATTTTGCATCTACCCTGTTTAACTGACTACCGGATTGTGTAAAGAATAGGATATTTTACTTTTGTAATTGTTGTAAGTTGGAGTTGTGAAGTGAAATTTTTATATTAGTTATAGAGGGTTGCTCGCGATAAAAGCACCAAAGTTGACTGCAGACTCCCTCATCAACACTGATTATTTATTTGAAAAATAGAGACACATTATTATTCCATATATTTTGAGCATCTGTCAGATATTGAATTTTGTTTAACAAAACACTTATCACGTGCCGATTAAGTACTGTTTATCCTTGTGTAATTTTAAAAATATCAATGACAACAGCAATATTAACGATGATATGTAATCCAAATAATGTTTTCCTGTAAAAATACCTCCGCACTATCTTTCGATCAGCATCCTTGGCATTCCATTTATTTATTTACACTTATTTAGTAACTTTCACATATACATTATCGGTACCAAATTTTGATTCAATAAGACACATTTTGATACAATTGAATGATATGAAACTTGTCAGTAGTAGTCGAACGTAGTAGCCAGTAGTTGTTGGCGGATCACAGTAGAACTACAAACATTACTTTAATACATCTATCTCCCTCACACATACACTACTGTTCAAAAATATTTGAACTCCCAGGAAACAAGGAAACTGATGGAAGTTATTAAAAAAGACATTAAAATATCTGAATGAAACATTTATTTTCTTAATTCTTAACAACATACAACTATTTATAATCAAAATATCAATATTTACTTTAAATACAGCCTGGCAAATGATGGGTAAACGCGCAACTAATTTCCCTAAAGTGGATAAGGTTATTCTTCGCCATTCGTCTTGTAATATTCTTCATAAGTGTTATTGAGATGTAGTACAACATTTCCGTACTTACCTGTCGAGTTCATCCCGCAGCAACTCTATTGGATTAAAATCCGGGGATTGGGGAGGCCATTTTCAAAGTATTTTGTTATTCTTTTGCTTCCAGCAATTGTTTACAGAGGTTGGATGTGTGTTTAGGGTCATTATCGTGTTGAAAGACAAACCCCGGACTAACAAGACGAGTCCTAGAAGGCACAACATGATTTTTTAGTACGGCTTTGTAACCTTCCTTAATCAGAATTCCTTGTACTCTCACAATATCCCCCATAGCGCAACCACCAAAACAGCCCCAAATCATTATAGAGCATCCACCGTGCTTGACTGATTGATGCTGACATGATTCTAATGCCCTCTAGGCCCACGGTGGACAAATACTCGATTCATCGCTGAACGACGGCCACTGCATGTTGTGCATTGAGCCTTAAATTTCTAGTGTACAGATGACAGTGGTATCTTCTGAAGTTTAGAAATTACTCGAATACTTTTGCCGGATTTATGAAGATCAATAGTAATTCATTTTATCTCTGCGGAATATTCTTTTGTTTTACCCATCTGTCCAGGAAAAAATAAACGTATACACACTTGTTGAACAATACTGAACTATAATGTATTGAAGCACGGTTAGTTTCTCAAACGAGACAAGATAACTGAAGTAAAACGGTGTTATGGGCTTACGTACAATACAAATTAAAACAAAAAATCAGAAAACAAATCCTGAGAAAGAATTCCTATACAAAAACATAATATTCTAAAGGCAAGAAATTCCTATTATGGCTAATGATGCGATCCCAATCCAAACCAAACCAAGATTTGGAAGAGATTCTGTAAAATCCCATTCTACAATAGACTTAAAAAAATCTAGAGATCTAGAGAAACTGTAACATTGGCGGCTTTTAATGTGTCTTCGCAGTCTTGGTATCTCCAAAATTCTGTTTCTGAGACCTCATCGTAAAAAACCAGTAAACTTAGATATAGCTAAATTTCAGTCCTTCAGTATTCGCCAAAAGCAAAGTATTTTTTTGTACGATCTCGAACAATGAAGATAGGTGTTGAAGAGACTTCGATCTTGTCTGGAGTTGCACTCTGAATCGGTTGAGACATTCCAACATATCTTTTGAACTTCTTTTTTCAGTGTTCTGCATCACTGGCCATCTCACCACCCACCCGTTTTTTACGACGAAGTCGTCTTTCTGTTAGAATACCGTAGCCTTCTGTTCTTTTGTAGCAATTTGTATTGCCCCTTACACAATGTGACCCCGTTTTTCTTCGATATAAAGGCGAAGTGCCTCTATTTTTGTAGCAGTCTCGTCAACAATTAAGCCTTTACTTTGCGATGCAATCTGTGCATTTTTTTATGTTTGTACATTGTTCTTAAAGTTGAGTCCACCAGGCGGGAGACACCCGATGCGTACCGGACTTTGACGAAAACTTTGTTACAATTTTTTTAAGAAAAAAAAATAATTACCAAATTCTTAGTCATTTTTTTCTCTTGTTCCAATTATACGTCCCTTCTATGTCTTTTCCTGATCTGTCAGAGCGGTACCAGGCCCTTTGTCTTGATAATGTTTTATCTATTACCTAACCATTACCTAAGGGGTAGGTTTTAAGTTAAGATATATATGACATGGTTAAGTATGAATGAACACTGACCAGTCTCCGCCATTTGTAACAGTATTTTACTTATATATTTGTCACAACAAAGTCGATAGAATTTGATTGAATATGGCATTTACTTTTAAATTTCGTGTGGCGACTACCGCAAAATACTAAATAATATCAAGGCTCTGCCAGCGCAGGTTTGAGCTATGAGCAATAGGCACACCACAGCGCGCGAACGGGAAGAAGTTGTATACTGGATACAACTTCCGGAACAAGCATTTGCCACGGCCCCACTCAGTAGGGGTATGAAGTACAGAATGTTTTTATTATCACTTGAATGAATGTCTGAGAGCCAATCGGATTCTGAACCTGAACTATATGAAAACTTATAAAAACTGGCTTCAATACTTTCAATTGTTACAAAATATTCAAAATTACAATGACATTTAGAAAGACGCAAACTCCCCAACACAGTTCAAAAACCATGACCCAAAATCATAAGGTACCCTTATCAAAAAAAAGTCTTATGAATGTCAGAAACTACGAGTGTCGCCAAAATTCTGTGAACTGTTTCTACCATCCGAAATTCAAACCAAAATAAAACAGCGGACCGATAATCCCCAACTAGGTTTTACCCTTGCTTGAACTGCGTATGCTCAGTCGGTATGTGTACACTATAGTAAATCTAGAACATTACTATAGTGTTTTTAGAGATAACGAATCTCCAGTCACCTCTTACGGAATTGGCGCTAAAGACGTGAAAGGGGCCATTTTTCGCTTTTCGGTCAATTCTTAAACTACTTTCTCAATGACATTAGATAAACATTCTCTTTTAGTTCTTTTAATGATTTCCAGACCAAGTTAGGAGAAATGGGTACGGGTTAGCAATATTTGAAACTAGACATTCCCAATTTGATAAGCTACAGAACGCATATTTAGTAGATTTCGTATCAATAAAATTAGACATTTTAAGCATTAGCTAACAATACAGCAACTTAGAATAATATATTACGCATTAATCGAAAGCCACATCAATTATGGCATAATAGTTTGGGGATCTGCTAACAACACTCATATAGATCAGCTGGAGAAAATCCAATAACTGATACTAAAAAAATTTATAATCGATCAATGACTTACTTGCGATATGATCTATCTAGAAACTAAAATACTTGACATTCGACAAGCATGCTTCTTCCAGATCGTCACAGAACAACACAAAAACAAGGTCACAGTAGATTACACCACTTATAGTTACGGCACAAAAAACAAGGACAACTTACAAGTACCCTTACTGAGCGGGGCCGTGGCAAATGCTTGTTCCGGAAGTTGTTGTATTATACGCGTTAAGGAATACCTCAGTACCGATTGCCGGGTGGCGGTACAAGTCCGCCAACGGGCCATTTTAGGTCTATAGAATATCACTAACACGCAAAAAGAAGGTGGTAGACAAGGACCAGGCGACCGAGGCCGTACCACCCTATAGCTTATAAATGTCCGCATGTTTCCACACCTAAGCTATGCAGTGGGTTATCTACC